ATTTCATTACAAAAAAAAAAAAAAAAAAAAAATTCAAAATACTGCAATTAAAAAAAAAAATTACATAAATGATGATAACATGAACGAAAGATAAACATGGTTATTGAAAATGTAAATTCAAAAAGTAATTTTTCTTATAATTATAATGCAGTATATTAATGTGAAAGGATATTTCAGTTAGATAATTTATTTGCTTAGAATTTAGTAAGTTGAGCAAAAGAGCTTCAAATTACCTGAAGTGATATGTTCCTGGTATTTGCCCGAATCCACTTCCAGGTACTACACATATTCCAGTATTCTCAAGAAGTTGCATTGCATAGAAAAAATCAGGAGCCTGCCCAAGTGACTGAAATAAAATATGTATGTGTTTCACTGATTTAAAAAAATACTTTGAATTCAAAAAAGTTTAAAACAAATTCTTACTTTTTATAAAAAATTATAAAAATTCTTAATCTTTCATTTTTTGCTTAATAAGATTCAGCTTCCCATCTGTTACATCACTTGACTGTCATAATATATTTATAGTTTAGATTATTTTTTCATCTGTTTTTTTTTTTATATTTATGATCAACTTAAAACAAACTTTGCCTTAGTAAGAAATAAACAAAAACATTTAACAAAAATATAAAACGTAAGATCATAAAGTCAAATCTAGCATTATAGAATATCATATGAACTCAATATTATTATTTACTGTATTCAGGATTCATGGTAGACTTGATTTTCCTGATGAAAAATATATACTCCTCATTTGGCCTGATTTTTAGCTATGTGTCCTATTATTTTTGATTTTTGTTTGCCTTCAGAATATCCCCTTTATTTATACAGACAATTACTAATACAAATGTGGATATTAAAATAATCAATTTGACGAATCGAAAGAAATTAAATTTTCATAAAATGTTCCATTTTAATTAACAATGTAGTAGAAATCGTAAAGTTCAATAGTTCAGATTTAGGAACAATCTACTAATTATATACATCGTTTAGGCATACAGCCTTACCCACAAGATTCATTATTTAAAACTTTGAGGGATTCAGACATTCTATGGAGAGGAAAAAAAATGGTGATGAATAAAGGGCTCATATACTTATTATTTTTAGCAAAAGCAGTAACAAATCTTGTAGAGTGGCATTTTATAGTTTCACATCTCTTGATTCATCTCTTTCATCTGATTTTAAAAATGATAAGATTCCAATCATCAACACAGCAATCATACACAATTTTTAAATGGTTAGTTGCAGGATCATCCATTAAATTACTTATAAACAAATATGTTAAGCAGCATATTTACTGTGTTTTCGTTTCGAGATTATTAAAACCCTACTTAAAAAATATTTGATTTAAGAAAAGTCTTAAACTTTAGTACAAATTTTGGTATGAGAGAACATTAACTAATCGATACCGGTTATTTTTCCAATTCAACAGTAATAAAAAAAAATTCTATAAATACTGATCTTTAACTATTGAGTTGTTCAGTGCTCAGTTAATGAAATTGTAAAGAAAGCTGTTTAAATTTTCGGTTTAACTTTCTGTTTTAAGCAAAGTAATATGGAAAATAAAAATATTAATTATTTTGGCGATAAATTACATTTACAGTTTTTTCAGCTTGCCGTTTGCATTTTGTAATAATGTGGTGTAGGTATTTTGTTCCAAATATTTTTCCGATTTCCTCTTTGTCCTATTTCAAAGCCTGTTGTATTACTCAGTGGTAAAAAATTGAAGCGAGTTGCATGCAATGGAAAACATAACGTTTTGACTGACCGATGAATGATTAAATTAGATAGAAAAAGTTTTTAAAAATTTAATGTGAGAAGTTTGTTGTGTTTTACTTTATAAGAAATTATAAGTGGATTATTTGTTGGTGACAGTACCTAGTAAATTTATTTTAAATCGATTGTTTTACTAGAGTGTTAGTTTAATGTTATAACGTTGTAGATGTGGAGTTAAACTATAGAGAATGTTACAACATGCTACCGTGCAATTAGGTTTATAGAAAACACTGCCCTTAGTAGACACAGCAGGGGGGGGAAATCATTGCAGAGTAAAAAAATAAAATAAGTTGCAAAATTCTGAACAAAATAACAAAGAAAATGCAAAACAGTTAATCACAATATAGAAATAAAAAGATTATTCTCTCTACTGCTCTTTCAAAAAATTTTCATGGTCTAAATTTTTTACTGTCCTCTTACTCACATGACTCAAAAACTGTTAGATAAATTTTAGCATACCCTTTGAGTAATATTTAAGGAAAATTTTGATATGAAATGTGGATAATAGTTTCTAAAAGTTTTTTGTTGCAAAATTCAGTTAAGCTAAAACTTTGTATAAGCTAACCATGTACTTTTATGTGTGAAGACTAGTACTTCGTCTCATTTTGTTTACATTTAAAATTAGTTTTAAGGTGATAAAATTATTTCTTTTCATTTTTTTTTCAGAGTTATTTTATGAAGTGGAAATACTAATCATTAATGGTTCATTTTAGAGGCTCAGACATGAGTAGGGACTCAGACATGAGACATGAGTAGGGACCATTTCTTCCAATTAAAATATATGTACAGTTTTATATGCTTTACTTTTTCTTTTCAGTTATAAAATTCTTACTTTAAACTAAAGGAAACTTAATCATAAATTTTTCATTAATCGAAGAAAAAAATCATATAAAAACTTTAGAGTATTACCTTAGCTTTTTGAATAGCCTTTTCAGGTAGAGTTATTCTAGGAAAAGCATACATGGCTCCAACTACAGCATTGCATTTCATTCCCCTTATCTTGTTAAAGGTCTTCTCAACTAGCAACGCTCTTTCCTTTAAAGATTTCAATACCTCAGATTTTTCCTAAAATACACAAATATTAAATTAATTACAAAGAAAACACATCACGAGTCAAAAAATTTTATAAATTTTTTTTCTTCAAAAACATGTATATAAAGTGTCATAAAGTTTGCCTGTAGAATAATAGAAGTCCATTTATAATACAGATTTAAAATAAACAACAAATTGTAATTATTAGGGATATCCATTAATCTTTCTTCTTTTATTTACATAGAAGAATTAAAATATTACACAAAAAAATAACATATTTTCCCATGTAAAAGTCAATCCAGTCTACAGGTTGATTAATTTAAATTTAACATGGAATATTTGGTGTTGGACATTGAATTCGCACTTAGTGAAAAGCTAATTTAACTGAGTACAACAAGCCGAACCAATCGCCAAGTGAAGCATTTCAAATCAACATGGATGATACAATTTAGATTTCTAGAATCAACATGACCTACATTAAAGGTTTTTAGTTCATTCACAAAAACTTTTATTTTTGCTATATCTTTTGAGTGTGTTCTCACTGTATAGCTTTTATCTTTTTCTTAATATAAACAGAACAAGTAAATGTTTTAAGCTAATGGATATTTAAAACTAGATTTATAAACATTCGTCTTACAGACCTTGTAAAACACTTATAACTTTTCAAGTAAAAGAGATAAAAAAGATGAACTTCCAAGTACCCTCGGAGATAGTTTGATGAATGATTATCAATAGTGTATATCCTATGTACGTTTATGAATCTAGTGTTAATATGTTATATGAATGAAAACTTTTAATTGCAAATGATGTACTACTGATTAACTAGACCCCATAATTTTCATTCAATTTAGTGTCTCAAAAAGTAGGCTTATATACCTGAAAATATGGTACTAGTATCAAAATATAAAAAAAGTACTAACTTCTGAAATATATTATTGATAACTGCTTCAAATGAAAAAAAAAAAAAAAAAAAATTACAGAATAGAAAAAAGACCAAAAAAAAATAAAAAAATCTAGAGCATAACATTTTGAAATTTATCTAAAGACTCTACTTGCAGATCTTAGAACCTTCTTTCAATCCGAACTCTCAAATAAATATTCCATCTTCTACGAATTCATGCTTAGATTACATTTATGCATTTTTGAAAAGTAAAAACTGCATTTTAGATTCATAATATTCTGCATTTAAAAAAAAAAAATTCATATTGCCCACATTTAAAATTATACCATTAATTTTTGGTAAATAATACAAGATTACAATTAAAAAAGTGTTTAGAAACCAATGGCTGATTCTGATAATTTTTTGAAAGCTGATTTCAGAAAAAATAGTGAAAGAATTTATCACTTATTTTTTTTTCATTAACTTAAAATTTTGACTTTTATAGACACCAATTCATTGTATTTTAATATACTAAAGAAAGAAAGAAGCATTTAGTGCAATAAGTCGTCACTACCAGTTAAAATTGGAGATGTTTAGGATGTGATGAAAATAAATAAAAACAAGTTAAGTAATAACAGGTGAATTTTTTTCATAGATTTTAATTCACATTGTCTTCTATTTGTGAAAAGAAACTAACACATTCCCATCGAAACATATGGGCTATTATGCCGAAATGAATCAAATCAATCCTAAGTCAACAAAACTAACAGTTTACAAAAAAATGAAATTTAAAATTTTTGATTAATACCTTTCTAAAACCATTATAGCTTTAGAACTATTAGTTCTATTGATTTAATTTTTATTTTACAGGATTTAGCATAAAAAAATATACTAGAAACAATAAGTCATTTGTTTGTATAAAAAGTCATATTTGAGAGTCATAAGACATATTTGAAGACAAAATTATACTTTCGAGACGTAAAAACTTCTAGAAGTTTTAAAGTATTAGTACTATTGACTTGAGTTTGATCTTCTTAAATTCAATGTAAAATTATATATCAGAAACAATACCTCACTTGTCTATACAGCAACAGTTTAACCTCTTCAGAACGGGTGAGTCCTATATACATTCCGTACGAATGCATGTATATAACTCACACTTCCCAAAAGGGTTGAAAAAAATTCAATTACTATATCCAATTTAAAATTAAAGCTTTGTCATATCTACAATAAATTATTGCAACATAAATAATAGATTATGCATCGAAATCTATTATTTATGTTGCATTTAATCAGATCTAAAAAATTTTATTCTAGTAGCATGCAGTTTCATGAATGAGGAAACTTGGTTCATCTTGTATCACTTAATATAAAGCATCTTTAATTAAAATACAAAAAAAGATGCACAAAATTAAACAGAACTAAAACATTGATATACCCTTTAAAGCCATTCAATGCAACAAATAATATTTTGTTTTATTATTTGTATGTAGTAAAGAAAGATTAAACTTATTAAAAATATAATGATTCAAATAAATAGGTTACCTTAATAAAAAGATCATAAGATGGATCACCCTTTTGAGGTGGCTTGACAACACAATCCATTGTTATCTAGAAAAAATAAGACTTAATTTCATATCTAACTATTATTACTAATTCCAATTAATAATAATTTTTAAAATACATAAAATTTAATGTAAATGTGGACTTCCATACATTTAACAAACAAAACACGTACTTAAATTTAATTTAATGAGACATCAAAACCAAGCCAGGAATAAACTCCAATACTACTCTATCGCACAAAATTCATGAACTGAAAGTCAATTTTCAATTTTTTTTATTCAATATTATTTAAAAAGATTTGTGAAATCGGATATCTAAATATCAGGAAGACTCTTAATGATATAAAAAACAAAAATTTAATACTAAATGATATTCCTGTAACTCCATATTTATCAAATATTTGAAAGAAATATTTTTAATTATCAATTTATTTTTAATTGGAATAAAAATTAATAAGACTAAATTTTAATTCGTAACTCTTTTTAATAGTCAGTTTTAAAAGTTTTTATTCTTTTATCTGTTATTTTTCTTGTTTTTCTTTTCTTTCAAATTCGCATCATCTTTGTTTTTATCATCTGTGCCATTTTATCCAGCTGATGGTGGTTCATGTCAGGGCACAAAAACCTGTCATGGTTTCGATAAATATACTATTTGGGATTTTAATTAAATCATATAACAAAGATCATATAATTAAATCATTAATCTTGTCAATTTCTTATTAAATTAATTCCATTCATCCAAAAGAAAGAGCTTAGAAATAAATGAAACAAAGTAAATTTTTACCTGACCCAAAACACTAGAACAAAGACGTGCAGACACACATTTTAGTAACATTTTCTTTACACTCATATCAACATTAACTAATTCACAATAACCTCCTCGCAAGCCACATCTGAAATACAAAAAAAGTAAGAGTCAACCACTTTTAAATATAATTAATCTATATTAGATATCATAACTAAAGTAAATTAGTGTAAATTCTTGAAATAAAAATCCTAACTCTTACTCGCCCATATATCCTTTAGAGGCAGACATGAAGGATGCTAATTCCATATCTTTGTATGGCTCTCCAAGTTCAGTCATTATCTTTTTAAATGAGTAGAATTTCATATTATCAGGATATACATTATCTTGGTACACCTTCAAAAAATTGAATATTGATAAGTAAAAACAATTCATTAAATTTAATCTAATTAAATATAAGATATAAAAACAAAGCCATAATTGCTTCAATAGTTCTTTCAAATATCAAAGTTATAATTCTTGCAAAAATCAAAAACTATTGAAAAAATTACTTACTTCATCTGCCATCAAAAATAGTTTTTCATCATAAGCGAACTTAATGATTTCTTCAATGTTTTGACGAGTAAGAACAGAACCTGCAATGAATAAATGATAAAGTTAGGGTTAACACCAGCAATGAAAATTTAGTGGACCAATAGCAAAACTTAGATATTCATTTAGTGGTGCAAAAACTAAATATGATAGACAAATTTCAGAAAAAAATCTAACTTTACATTTAAATAATTACCATCTATATTATATAGCTATAGATATATAAATAATTTCCATCTATATTTGATGTGTGCCATATTATGGTACACATCAAAAATTATTAATTGCCATCTATAGTGCCCTAAAGCTAATTAGGTTCATTCCCCATAATGATTAAATATTAGTATTTATTAAATTTAAGTGAAAAAAAAGCTAAAATAATGTTAGTAAATACATTCAACATTGAGATTAAAATACTCAGACCAAATAAATATATAAATAAAGTTAGAATCAACAAAACATTATATTAAGAATTAGTCATCTAAGATTTTATTATGAAGTCAATTTTAAAAAAGTAAAAAACTTTATTGATGAAGAATATACTGTCAAAACATAAATGCAAAGGAGAGGAACACATATTTATTTGAAATTTCAATATCAAAATGTAAAAATTTTTGCACCAAACACTTTCAATTATTCCTTTTGAATACCATGCGTTTGAATTTTATACCAAGAACTAGAACAATAAAATTAATACAACAAATTTTCGCTAAATACACCAAATTCAATATAGAAAAACTATTTTTTAGTACTATTTTGTAAATTTCGAATATATTTGAAAGCGAAAAATTTTTCGTCCACGCTTATGATTTTAGTGACATTTGCAGAACATTTGGTAGCAATTGTCGCTTCATCTTCTTACTGACGTGAACCCTAGATATAGTTAATTCTCTGAAGATATTACCTCTCAATAACTATGAATTAAATTAATGTTTTAAAGCATTAAATACATTTCAGAAAACATTCTAGACTTTTAACTAATTCTAACAAGTTTTTTGTTTGGTTAAAGTTGTTTTCTTGAGCACTGCAGCCCATTACAGGCCAAGGCAGTCTCTCTACCTAACGCTATCTGACACTATAGATCTACATCAGTTTACTCCTATCTGCTACAGATCTGTTTCAACATTTTTAAGCCATTAAGTGGGTGGTTTTCTGCTGGACTTAGTCTCTTTCTTTCAAAGATTAAGAGCAGATACTCTTTAGCTTTATTAATTACCTAGCATACATTTCTGAAAAGGGCAACAGGGGTTATCAAAGTCTTGTATAGGCTGTGTGGTGAGGGCAAACATTTCAAAAAGATTAGAATAAAACATTTTATGCAAACAATACCAACCGTGCTCTTAAATAACAATACTGCTTTATCCTTAAAGATTATATTAACAATAAAAGAATGTAATAATAATTTAATACTTAGGTTTCAAAGTATAACTGCAGTAATAATTAAGAAAATATTAGGAAGAGAACAATATTTTTTTAATACCGTTTAATCAATACAGATATTGATAAAGTTTACTGTTATCTTTAAATAACGTAACAAAAATTAAATGAAGAGCACAAATATTAATTACCAGTTGGATTTCCAGGGTTAATGACCACTAAAGCTCTTGGATCACATTCTTTACGAGCTTCATCAAGAGCTCTTTTCAATTCTTTAATGCTAAGAGCCCAAGCATTATTCTCATCAAGATAGTAGTTAATCTATTTAAAATAATAAAACATAGTTTTTTAAAATATCTATATGCATTCATAAAATACCTATATGCATTTAAAAGTTAAAAACTCAATACAAAACAATTTTTCAAAAAAAAAAAAACTAATTTTAAAGATTAGACCATTAAATTTTTTTTTATTATTTACTAGTTATTGAACCTGGCAAGATCTCTGATATAAAAATAAGGCAACATTGCTTAAGTGATCTGCATAATAGAATTCAATTGTGGAAAATAAGTACCTACTTATGTTATTATTTAATACACAATTTTGGTGAACATTTTTATTTTAGCCCTGTTACAAATATTGCCACTGAACCTTTGCTTAGATAGTAACTTCCCTTTTGCTCTTTCAGGTGACTTTACATTATTAGATTTATCAAAATACATAACAGTAGGATAATAATTAAGAAACATGTGGTTACACTATTTCCGCAATAATTTAAAACAGTCAAGATTGGCTACAATTATAATATTAATTCTCAAGGAAAATAACTAATTGCTTTAATATTTTTATAGCCCCTGTTCTCATATATCTTTTTAAGACCTATTACAAATTATCATGCAGAATTGGCAATTAGTGAATCATTTTTATGCATTCTAATATTATTTCACATGCTTCCTGGTGACTTCACATTCTCAAATTCATCAAAACTAAGATTTTAAGAGATTCAGCTCACAAAAAAGAAAGACTACGAATACATAGTATTACTTAACACCAAATATTATGCTATTGATTACAGTTTAACTTGCGATAATCAAGATTCTATCATATTCAGGCAATTTTCTTTAAAATTTGGCATTTAAAGAACAACACTTCAATTTTAACATTTAACTTTTTTTTAATTGCTGTTGACTTCAGATTATTTGGGTTTTATGTATAGAAATATTTGAAAAGTTCAACTATATACCATGCAAACAAAATTTCAAAGAGCTTTCAAAATATTGACGAGAGACAATATATTAAGATTAAATTAAAAAAATCAGGACAGCTATGATCCCCCTACTACAGAATGATATGCACATCACAGACAAATAAAAAGCCTGAGCATAATACTAACATTAGTTAAATCAAAATACTTGGATACTATATACTTAAACACCAAAATTAGGGCCAAAATTAGGGAGGCAGAAATACTTTTTTTATACATATTTAGTTTTTGCTATAGGGCAATGGTTTATAATAGCTATATGAAAAATTATGCCATAAATGACTGTTTTTATGATAAAGCAAAAAATTTAAATTTCAAATAACATAAATCATCACATAGTCACTTGTCACTTCAATTCATTATGAAAATTTACAATTTATAAAAAATTTCCTTAGCATTTTTTAACAAGGTATTTACCATAGAAAATTGTAAAAAAATATTTCTAATTCTAAAAAAAATTCAATTAATAAAAATTAAACTATGTGTAAAACTCAAAAGGCAATCACATCATCTTTCTATTTACATTTACATGGGTTAAATATATAATACAAAATTTTTGGTCCTAAATATTTTTGAAAGACATTCACATACATTTCATTGGGCATAGAATGCCATTCCTAAATGGCAAACGGCAAATTCATGTGAAATAGTTAACTTACAATTAAAAAAAAAAAAAAAAAAAACTTAAAAATGATTAGTTTCGAATTGGGTGCAAAAATGTTCATCAAAAAGAGATATTTATAGTTTTAAAAAACTTAAAACATTTAACATAGACTTTTCAAATCAACTCTCTTAACTCCGAAATAAATGAACCAGGTTTAATTATAAATTTATTAAAATACTAGGGAGCTAAGTATACATATACATATATATATATATACGATTGCATAGTAAGTTATAATTAAATAGTAATTATTATAGCTCACCATATGCATTCCATATTCAGCAATTGTTGCAGAATAAAGAGGGTATTGAGGAATTGGAACCATAATACCAGGTGGTTTTCCATTAACTGTGCAGTTAAGCAGGCTCAATATACTCTGAAAATTGGAAGAAAAAAATTTTTTTTAATTACATACCTAAGAAATATTGTTAATGCAGAATATAAGAATTATTAACTTAATGAACATGATAAACATTAATTAACTTACTTTTACACCTTCACTAGCACCCGTGCTTAAAATTATATCACTAATATTTGCTGGTATACCATCTCTTTGTTTTATGTATTCGGTAACATGTTCTTTTATCAGTTCGATTCCAGCACTATCAGTGTAAGATCCTGTAAGAATATAAATTCAAAATTGTGAAATTTGGAGGTAACCAATATTTTTTGCAACCACTAAAAAACTCATCAAAAATAAAAATAAAGCTTTAGCTAAATTAAATTTAACGCCAGTTTGAATAATTTTTTACAGACTAACTTGACGTAACACTAAATTGAAAAGAAAAGTGAATTTGAAACAAAAACAATATAATTGTTAGATAAATGTCACAGAAAAGACAGGTCAACCTGAGGATCTTTACCAGATATGACCTCACTAACTAAAACATGATCTTAGACACTCAATAAAATTATGCATCTAATTTCTACCATCTTATGCAGGCAACACTCGACATAACAACTCCTGCGGTCTTAACAAAAATGAACATTACGATGTAAGCATCGTACAACAGCTGAGACAAATATTTACTCATAATTCATTAATATTGGACTTATTTTGACCGGCTCAAGTAAAATTTTCTGAAACTATGTGAAAGCTTACTCTATACACCCCTCTGAAAATTATAATAAAATGTAATTCTGAATGTGACGTTCTGAAAATTATAATACCCCTCTGAATTTATAATAAATATAACTTGTTTATCCAAATGGCATTGATAGAAACTTGAGAAATATCAATGTAAAATAGGAAACTTTGAAATAATATATGTTTTAAACCAAATATTTTTCATTTGCTGAAATCTTCATAATATTTTTGTAAACAGCAACTCAATTTTTTTTAAAATTGCAGCAAAAAAAATTTTGGACCACAAACATCCCTGCAGCTTTATTTGGTACACATCCTTTAAAAAATTTTAATCTCTGTTGTGTGCATATGGCATTAAACTGGTTACAAACAGCTATTTATGCTAAATTAACATATGTCTAGAGAAATGTAAAGCCTAATTTAAAGAAAATTCAAGATTAATGTGAATAGTACTGTGCACTTTGACTCCAAATAGAGAATTCATTCATTTCTCATTCAGAGAGAATTTGAGATGCTTCATGCTTATTGTTGATAATTGAAACAGTTATTTAAATTATCTTGAGACATTAGCTATCCCTTGATTCATTACCAATGGAAAAATATTTTGAAAGCACAAAAATGTTAAACACTAGGTTCTTCCACACCAATTCAACCAATTTTTAAAATATAGTTTTAAAAAAAACCATTTGTTTTTTAGTAATACACTTTTGAAAATATTCTAGACTTTGTTTTTTAGTAATACACTCAATTTTTGCAAGATCAGAATTTTTAACAGCTGTTTAGACATATTTGAGCTATAGAGTGAACTATTCTTTCCTTTTGATCACTTTTTAAAGCCATTCTGTAAGATATATAACACGTCTAAGTTATTTCAAGTAATATTTTGTTATAAAATAAATTTAGATTTTTAAAACCTTAAAATCAAAATTCTTATTTTCTTAAAAATAAATGCATTTTATGTAACTTTTTTAGCAAGATTTGAAGATGGTATTCATATTAAAAAGCTTCTTTACTTTCTAGTTTAACAAATAAAGTACATTGTCACATGAATATGCTATTTTTTTACCAAAATTTTTTTCAAAGATTTTGAAATTTCATTTTTTATGTCAGAAGCAACTTTAAAAAACATGCCAAAAGTTATAAAATCTAAATTGCTTAATTTTTTCTTCTTTTATTGCTTGATTTGATGCAGAATTACCCTATCTGCTTCTGGATGATATTCTCATAATCAGAAATAAAACACTATAATTGGAATGAAAGGTTTAATTTAAGTCTTATAATAGGTGTTAAAATAAAATTGCATCTATGGAATAGCAAACATCAGCTGTTATATTGCAAAGATTGCTTTAATGGAAAATATATGGCCTAGGCTAAAGAGCATAAGACTGGATCTCCACAAATTGTAGGTCTACTATCTAAATAAGCTTGTGCATCCCTGGTTTGCATATAATATATATAACGTTATAAACGTTATGTTGTTAGATTATTAACATATAACATCAATAAATTTTAGATTTCCTAAATATTTACCATATAAGATAAGGTCTTTAGCCTAAAGAACCTATGCACTCGGACCTGATGTAGAATTTTCGACATTATTTTATAGGAGCTGTTAGTCAAACAAGTTATTGCTAAGAGCTCAACAATATGTTTTTAGAATTTGGCTGTTAATATAGACCTCTATAATTTGGCTTCTCAACTGGAGGTGTTTTCTGTTTCATTTTAATCTTTTAAACTGAAATTAAATTACATACATATAGAGTTGAAATTATTTTAGATATGAAAAAATTGCTAATTGTAACAGCTTCATCATTTACAGATTCCAATTCCTTAATAAAAAAATTGAACTGAATAATCTGAATTAGATTTTAAGATGCTTTTCCTTAAATAGTTGATTTTTTTATTTTGTTTATTTATGTATAAACAAATATAATTATGCAATAGAATTTAGCAAAAATTATTTTTGATGTAGGACACCGATTTCATGTCATTAAATAATTTGGTTGCAGCAATAAAATCAAAAAGAAACATGTTAAAACACATATCAAAACAGATTGTAAAACATGCAGCAACATATTTTTACAACACATCTAGTAACAATTGATACAGAATAGCTTCACACCAAAAGCTTCTATTATTCTTAAATCAGATACTTAAATAAAATACACACCAACACTGCCCCCACCACATCCCTTTAAAAGATCTTGAGCTCTTTTCTTGACATCTTCTGGGAAACGAGCATCTTTCATTAACTCTGGATTTGTACACAAGACCAGAACCTAAAAAAAAACAGAGCAAATCAATCTGAAGTTATTTCTTTAATACTCAACACATCACATCAAAAAGATAAAATATCAACACAAAGAAATAACAGCCAGAAGAAAGAAAAAAAAAATCACAATTTTAAATATTGTTTTCATTTTAAATTATGTCAATGAGCATTTATTTGCTCATTGATGTAATATAACACAAATTTGCTTGAATTTAGAATTTATCATACTCCAGGTAGGTAAACATTAGGTAGGCTTAAATATTTGTTCAGTTTTAATATAATTACATTGCTAACAGATACTAAATCTATATGAATCTCAAATTTTTTACACGTTAAATTGAAAGGCATGTATGTTAACCAAAATATGTGACCAAAATTTTGTAACTTTTGCAAACTTTTACATGCCTCAACATGTAAACTTTAACATGCTTAAACATTTTTTTCAATTGCATATTGACAAAAACACATAAATGTAATTATTATTCGGTCACAAAAATGGCATTAACAACATATCTACATCAAAACTTATATAAGCTTGTTCAGGTATTATTAGCAAAAAAAATATACATTAATTCAGTAAAACCAGAACATTAGTAACTAAATAATATCAAAATTATGAAGTACTATCTGCAAATGCATGCCCTTAAACATGTTATTTCAAATTAATATTAGAAACTTTTATATTATTTTCTTATGTATAATGATTAGGGTAAAAAAAAAATAATAATTCCCAAAATATTTCCCCTCCATTTTTGTAAAATTTTTTTACTTTATTCAATATTTTGCTGATTTCCATTGAAATTTGTGGGGGGTGAATCAGTATTTTATGGTATGGTAGAATATTTACAAGTCTGGTCTGACATATAAGAGTAAAAAATACATGCCCGATCGGAATTTTCATATGCCCTGGCAAGTAATTTTCAAAATAAGTATTACATAATTCTAAAATTCAAAGTGCAATTCTGAGATATACAATAATTAAATATCTCATAACATTATCTTCATTAAACTATAAAGAAAAAACAATAAAACCTTTATATGAAATGAAATATGCAAAGTCATAAAAAAACAGACGATTAATTATGAATACTAAGTATTTAGCAGTTTTTTTTTTAAATATTTATAAGTAACTGTGCTCATTTATGTTAACAGGTATAGTTACTAGAATAATAATTTATATATAGCCTGAAATGATAAATATTTGGATGATTTGCATAGGTTTTCAATTAACGTCATTTTGTTACAATACAGTTACATTGTTTTTCAAAACCAAACTGTTGTTTTCCTATTTAACAATGACCAACTCAAATTATATATGCATAAAAAATTTCAACATTTTATAAAAACTAATTTTATAGCAATTCACACTAGATAAAAAAATATTAAAATTAATTTCAGATAAAAAAATTAAAGTTTAATTAAAATATCTTTTTACTTGTCTAATAAATGTAATAGGTCTCTGTCCCATAGCATGGCAATCTCCAATATTAGCTCTAATAACATCATTGAAAGGTTTTTTAACACCCTGAAATAAATAAACAAACTTAAAATATTTAAAAAGATTACATTTAAAATAAAAGAAAAATCTCAATTTTTCTCACACAGTTAAGTTATGTTAACAAAGCTTAATAAACCTTTATTAACTTTACTACTATAATTGAGAAAAATTAAATGGATACAATAAAATTATACAAGAGATAAAAATTAAATTTACAAAATATTAAATACAGTGAAACCTCCAGGAAAGACCACCTCCATGTAGTGACCTCCTCTATTTACGACCACTGAGACCTCCACTATTTACAACCATTTGAGAGACACATAAATTTTTCCATTGACTTTGTGTTGAAGAAAATCATGTACCTTCGATAACATTTTGAAGTCAATGGTGGCCCATTAACGACCATTGTACTGTGGAACAGAGAGTGCTAGCTCCCGAGAGGTTTCAATGTACATACAAATATAGTCAACCTAGTTTTTTATATATATTATAGTGATCAAATTCATAAAGAAAGATATAAGAACCTTAATTTATAGTGATAGGAACATTTCCATACAGCAATCTGGGGGAGATTTCCATATCGTGATCTGGGACAGAATAATCGCAAAGTCTTGGAAACTTCCGGGCAGTAGCCCGCGAGAAACTAAAAAAACTCCCAGGCAAACATCTACATGATTAGTTTTTTTTTTAAATTGCAAGTTGAAAATCTATTTGGCACCTTGGTGATTGTAGTTGTGCGATAGATCACGATACGCAAACCAATTTGGTGCCTTGGGGATTTTGAGAGAAACACGATAGGGAAATATCCCTACAATTATCGTGAACATTTGATTCCTGGCATAAATTTAGGTAATTTAAAAAGACTTTAGATAAGAGTTAGCAATTTAAATTAAAACGCATTTTTCATAGATTGAATTCTTGAATTGTCAATTACTTAATTTTAATACATCTAGTTGGGATCTGGATTAGTAGTTTTAGCTATGCATCTTTAAAAGAGCTAAAATTTTATTTATAGTATAATTTAACTTAATGCAATAACAAGTAAATGACTATCACTTATTTAGTATAAAATCTCAAATTATAAATTATACTAAATTTAAATAATTACAACTAAAAATATGATGCTGCATAAGAAAACATCACAAACAAATCTTCTTACAAATTTGCAATTCAATTTATAATTTTTTTTAAATTAAAATAATGTTTCTAATTAAACAATTAATTTACAAATTCAGAGACTGACTAAGAATATTTAGGACACAATGCATGTCTCTAAATTTTTAATTATAATTACATATTAAAATTATTAATACTTACATATCTTAGGATTTTGACCTTTATCTATGCATTTCTAATATTACATTAACAGCATAATTTTACTAAAAATAATGCTGATGCCAATCATTATTTGTGAATATAAAACCTCAATTATATTTTTTAAAAAGCTACTATATTTATGCAAAAACGATAATTAGGCATTATGATGAATACCACACAAGAAAATATCACTAACAAATTTAACAACTTTGTAACTAATTATTGTTTTTTTAATAGTTTTTTTAATTGCACAATAACTTTTAAGACTTATACACTTATAATTGATGGGATTCAAGGTCTAACAACAAATCTCTAATTTCCTAACATCTTGTAAATTTTTTCCCCTTACTTTAAAATCTTAATATTAAAACTAGAAATTAAGCAGAAAATAAGAAAGTTACATCAATAACTTTTTAAAAACTACATTCAACAACATACACAACAAAATATTACAAAAATAGGTCTGAACGAAGCAAGTCAATTCTTACAAAATATGTGTAAGAAAATATTTAATTTTTTTGCAATTTAACAAATATGAAATAAAACATTATAAATAAAGTGTTAAGAGCCTCTTTAGTTAAAGTAAAATAAACATTTTTAAAGAGGCAGAGTAGATTGTAATGTCAACAAAATAATTAAGCAACTATACAAGCACACAATATCAATTTGTCTTAAATCTGGTTAGCATAAATCTAACCAGTTTAAACAGGAAAGAAACCACATTTAAAAAACTACATAATGCAAAAACAAGTTTTTCAGATTGATGGGAAGATATCACAGAGAGATGCACTTAAAAGCATAATTAAAGGAAAAGCAAATAAAACCAGAAAAATATGGCAAAGAAGTTAAATGTATTATTTTAAATTACTGAAATTAAAGTAACAAATAAGTATTACTTTATAAATGTAACTGAAATCAAATCACTAAAAAAACACTGATAACAACACAGCCAGTGGGATAACAAACCTTTAGTAATTCTTTTTCAATTTCTCCTGCACGTATTACTAGAGGACCACGTACGGCATATTCCATTAATTTTATATTAGGATTCATATTATCTAAAGTCACAGTTTTCCGGTCCATTTTGCTACTTGTTTGAAAACCAGCTGCAGTTCCTCTCACTATAGTAGTGTGTTCAGTTGTTTTGGAGGACAGTGCCAAGTCTTCATACACATGCGCCAAAACCATGTCGAGTTTGCGCCGTAGCAGGCGAGGTTTGATACTACTTTTAGCAAACATATTCATTTAATCCAGTTTTTCTATGCACTAAAAACTATTCAATAAATATTAAGCTATGAGAAACAATGGATAGTCAAAAGAAGACTAGTAAATCACACAAACACAATAATGTACTTCATCATTTTAAAAGAAAATTCACCTCGATGAGTTGTTTACGATTCTCGCCAAAGCGTTCAGGTTTCCAAATTTTACCGCCCTCAATCAGATGTTTATTTCGGAAAAATCGATCAGTAAGATGAAGTAGATAAGAAATATTGAGCTTCAGCAATTCTTATGACGGGGCATGATTAAACCTCATGTCCACATAGAAAAGTAAATATCTCAGGGAAAATACTTCGTTGATTCTCAGGGACCAAACCTAGAAATGATAAAAATAGATTCCGGGAGAAAACGTCGCCACGCGGTTTGTGCTAACGTGATGTGATGTCACGATCACAGCGCTACACATAACTTAATTTTCCCTGTAGGGATTTTCACCTAATTGGGGGGAGATTTCAATAAAAATTTAATTTTAATTAAACGGTGAAATGAAAGTAGTTGTTCTTAATGTTGAAACAACTTTTCCCCGAACATTTTAATTTGACTTATATTGAATTATCAAATATAATACGAATGTACTGAAACAAACTTTTTTAAAAATGAAATTGCTAGCTTATTTTATAATTCTCATTTTTTAAATTCATTTTTGAGAAGATAAAATTTATTTTAAATGCAAAGGAATTCGAATTTTTTCCCCATAAAATTACAATAATTTGATTAGTTATAATTATTTATTTTACTTATTATAATTTTTTGCTTTTTAATTTTTCTTTTTTGAAATTATAATTTCTTAGAAGAACATTTTTAACAAAATATTTTTTGAGTAATTAATTATTAAAATCTTTTGACAAAAATTAATAATATTTATCATTGCAAAGTAGATAGGTTATGCTGAAAGAAAGGTGTAATAGATAATTTTAAAAAAATTAATGATGTTGAACATTTACTATTTCAGTAAAAAAAAAAAAAAAAACTAATGAGAAGAAAAATGTCTCACTGAAACAGAAGACTTGAGAAGACTCTTTAAAAATTTAAAGCATTTGAAAATTTATCTAGTAGAAAAACTAATAATATTAATGTCATTAGAATATTCTAAAATTTTTTTAATTATTTGAGCAGAGTACTAGAGCAAATATTGAACCCCACAATATTTTTATATATATATTTTCCTTTTTGTTTTATTTATTATTATTTTTTATTAAAACTGATAAACACAAATAGCAATTTCAAAGTTTTTTTTGTAAACACTAATCATCCACAAATTGGCACAGTTCAGCAAAGTCTTGTGACTTTTAGTCTGAAAATATTAAATGTTATACTACTATTAATAGGCAATAATAGAAAGCTAAAAATGTTTACATTATTTTTAAATGTAAAATTCTCTGCGCCACACAGCCCTTTTTATTTTAAAATTACCAAAGCAGAAAAAATGTAGGTTTTATTTTTCTCCATAATGAATTTTCAAATATTTTTTTTTTCATTGTAAAAATTTTAATTTCATAATAATGTTTTTTATTTTTTCATTGTAAAATTCGCAGATATTTAGGTATTGGACGAAACAAAATGATGACAGTACAAAAAACAATACGCATGAGAATTTCTATTCATAAGATTTGAATAATTATAACATTTATTGGAGCATAATTCTAAAATTAATTTCATTTAATCCAGACATTTTGCAAGTGTTCTAAAGATTTGGTAATATTGTTATTTAAAATAAAATTTATATTAATTCATTATTGATAAACATTTTCTTCACAAGTAAGAAATATTTAAGTACTCCAACTGATAGATCTAACTGATAGCTGACTTGTAAACTGTTAAGTATTAAGTTAGAAAAAGAAAAAGTGAGAAAGAAAATAAAACTTTAAATCCATTCTTCTTTAATCTGTTCTTTGTATTGTGATGAAATTGCACTTAGCAATGAAACTGATAATGCTTAAAAGCTTTCTTAACCTAAAGCTTTATCAAGGTATGGGGTCTTTTTATTAAAATATAAAAACTTGAAGTTGAGATAGCATAAAATTGAAAACAAAAATTTCTCTTAGAATTTGATCAGCAGTTATTCAAATTGCGCTTATTACTTCTTCTTTAATGTTTTATGTTTGAATAAAAAATATCCATAATTACAAAATAAAAGCATGTTTAATCAACTAATGCGTATCCCTATTTCATTAACTAAAAGTTATTTAGTTTTTAAAATAGCAACTTTATTTTTATTTATTATCTATTTCTGAAATTATCTTTATCAACATCCTTTTTTAAAACAGTTACTAATTTTTCGCATTTTTATAATATCAGTGAACGAATAATATCAAACGAATTAAAAATATCGAAGTAAATTTTTTCAGTTATAACTCCGATTTTCTGTTTTTTTTTTTTTCCTTTTTAAGGATAAAAAGGTTACCAAATGAAAGATTTTGTTTTAAAAACAATTTTCTTAACTTTTACTAGACATTCTATAGCTTTCTCATAAATATTACATAAAATAAAAAATTACAGACACAAATTAATATTAATTAAGGATAAAAACTTACAGGATTCTTTATTACTAGTATAAAATTATCATAGAATTCCGAGAGGCAATTTAAAATAATAGGCGGTTTAACCATTTTTTATATTTACAAAGATAATCACCCATTTGTTCATAAGATTTCTGTTAGTTTGTAAGAGATCAAGGCATTTCCATACACTTAAACGTTTTCAAAAATTGCGAATGTTAAATTTTATCTTTTATCTAAAGTTTAATTTTTTTAAAAAAAAGAGTCATTTCGTTAGCTGCACTAAATTGTTGGAAATTAATGAAAGAAAATCAACCTTTTAATTCATAGCCTGAGTGATTAATTACAAAGTAACTTTGACATAAATTTAGTTGTCTAGCTACGAGTATCTAATATTATAACACCATCAAAGCTCTGTCACAGCGTAGTGTAGTCAGGCCGTTCAAATGAAAGCAATTTTATTTTAAGCCTACAGATTGTTTATAAAAAAAAACAAACATGCAAATGATCAGAATCTCATTTGAATTATTCTGTTATCCACTGGTGACTCAATCCACCCTAACGGCGGTTAATCCGCTAACCATTCTGGTATTCTGATTTTTCATAAGCTGAGAAAACAGGAAGAGGAATAATAATAAGGTAAAAATTGCGATCCATACTATTATGTGCGATTTCAAATATGGATATTATGTTATTCTAGAGTAGACAGATATAGTTTATGCTGTTTTACCTATCCACTTTCATGTTGATTTAGAGATTTAAGGCGAAGAAAATTGCTTCTCAAATGAAAAATCACTTACTTTTGCGATAATATTTCCGTCTGAAGTAGTTGCTCTTCTAATCACTTTTACACAACCATTCAGATCATGTTTCAAACAATGAATGACAAAGTCTGAGATCGATCGCTTTTCTTTTGTTGAAGTATAACTCAGCTCCTGGCAAGATACCCAACTCTAATTTTATCTGCTGTCCTTTTTTTTTTAATTCCTGAACCAAAAGTGTTCCTAAAAGCAAAATAAATTTCTTTTATTATTTGAATATATATATATATATATTTCTCAGGTATGTAACAACAAAACATAGGTTTATGCCTTTAAATTAATTAAAAGCAGATTACAGAATGTATATTATACAATACAAATTAAAAAAGAAATAATAAAATGTGTACTTCCAACTTACTGAGGCACATTCTGTCGAAAATTAATTTGCGTAGAAATGATACCCTACTTCATTGCTCTGTCTGTCAATCTGTTTCACTGCACATAAGCAAGCCTTGCAGTAAACACTCTTATTAGGAATTCCATCTTAGCAGTTAACATTCCCCTCGTATTTGTTGAATAATAATTTATTTTTTTAAGCTGACATATCATTATACATATGTCTAACTATGCATAAAAATCTAATGATGGTGTGGTGTTTTGCATCGTTGTCGGTATATTTTTATTGGTCAGAAAAATCACATGTTTGATATTTTTTGGCTGTTATCAGCTTAAAACTAACAAAAGTCATAAAGGTATTGTTTTTGTGTAAAATATTTTTGTATCTCAAATTTAAAGGTATTAACGTTTTTGATTATTTTATAAACTTTGAGTTCAAAACTGATAAGAGTTGTTTCTTTATTATAACATATTTCTATGATTTTGCATAATTACGCTACGTTTTAAGATAAGCTTATTATCGTTTTTGCGTTATTTATTTGCTTGTATTTATTATCGTTTTTGTATTCCTTTTTATATTTCTTCAATTCTCGAAATTGAAAATAAAAATAAAAAATTGCCAAAAATAGTAATAAAAATAAAAATCTAAAAATATTTTTTCGATTTTAAATTCTTATAGTTAATAATTTTTTTTTTATATTGTCAATATATGCATTTAAAAAAATCAAAATGAAGAATTAATATTTGTTTCGTACTTCTAAGGATGTATAGGTTGAAGTGAATGTCCGACATTCAGTATAAGTCAATTTTCGCCGGTGAATATTGATATTCAGCAATGAATGCATAGTAAAAAATTTCTTTTACATTATTTTCCTTTTACGATACTTTCAGTAAAGCAGACAGAATATCGATAATTGTCAGTGTAAGTGAGAAATAATGATATTTGGCGAAAATATTTCCTTTAGCATTCAACATTTGTTGGAGTAACTGAGAAATAATAAAATTTACTAAATATTTTCGAACAATCACCAAATCAAATATGATTGTTCATAAAAACAGCGCCGTCGACTTTGATGGCTCAGGGGATAGAGCGCTCGCGTTCAAATGAGGTTAACAGTGTTCAAATCCCAGCGGTGTCTGGCTGATACGAATTCCACATCCGGCTTGCACCGACCACAGTACTGATGTAAAATATCCTCCAATGGTAGACGGATCATGAGTTAGTGTCCCCTTGCCGTCAGGCTAACCGTGGGGTATTCTTGTGGTCTTCCGGTTAGCGAGTCATGTGGGTAAGTTCCATCACAACAGTCCTCCACGAAGGCAAATTTCTCCCAATGCTTGATTCTGGAGTTCCCTTGTCTTCTGGATTGGGTTCAATATTACAATACTACGGAGTTGAACATTATTTGTAGTCGTAAACCCTAAAAAAATTAGGTCGGCTGTTCAACGACGGTTATAAAATTTAAAAAAATAACCAAGACGTGATAGCACAGCGGTTAAGGCACTGAGCTGTCTTTGTGAAGAGTTTGAATTTCATCCATGTTGGCAGCTTGAAACCCACCCAGCTTCAGATCGTAAGGTGTCAGCTTATCTGGGAAGTTAAAGTGATCGTTGCGCAATGATGATCACATTGCCACTATAATGCTGTTTGTTACGAAATTTTGGTCACTTAACCTCCATGATCCCCAGGCCTAGAATGGGCTGTTGCGGGAATGCTTTTACCAATAACCTATAG